TTCAGAGTCAGCCTACAATGAAAAACAAGAGCACTCATTTGAAGACAAGAAATTCTTGCATGTGATGAACAGCTCAGTCAAAAGGAAAGATGGCCACTACGAAATACGACTTCCTTTCCGTCAGGATAACATCAGTATGCCAAACAACAAGAAGGTGGTGGAACAAAGAGTATTGAATCTTGCCCGTAGATTCCAGAAAGACGAATCCTTTCGGAAAGACTATAATGGCTTCATGTGTGACGTCTTGAGGAAAGGGCATGCAGAAAGAGTGCCAGAGGAACAACTCTCCCGGAAAGACGGAAGACTGTGGTATTTTCCTCACCATGGTGTCTACCACAAAAGAAAAAAGACTATCCGGGTGGTGTTCGACTGCACCTCTTCATTCCAAGGAACTTCCTTAAATCGTGAGCTGTTGCCGGGTCCTGACCTTACGAACACACTATTGGGTGTACTTCTCAGATTCCGACAGGAACCAGTGGCAGTGATGGGGGACATTGAAGGAATGTTCCATCAAGTAAGAATACCAAAGCATGATGTGGACTTCCGCAGATTCCTGTGGTGGCCAGATGGCGACACCAACCAACCGCTAGCAGAATACCGGATGACGGTGCATCTCTTCGGAGCAGTCTCATCACCGAGCTGTGCCAATTTTGCACTGAAGCGGACAGCTGATGACAACGAAGGAAAGTGTAGCACTTATGCTCTAAACACCATTCGTCAAAACTTTTATGTAGACGACTGTCTGAAATCTGTCCCAAACGAGAGCCAAGCCATCCGTCTGGTGAAAGAGCTTCGATCAGTCTGCACCACAGGTGGATTTAAACTCACCAAATGGACCAGTAACAGTCGTGCAGTCCTTGCCTCTGTTCCAGTGGAAGAGAGAGCAAAGGAAGTCAAAGATCTAGACCTCGACAAAGACAAACTGCCCATCGAAAGGGCCCTCGGCATGCGATGGGACATTGAGTCAGACACTTTCTTCTTTTCAATCACCCCAAAACAACCATCAGTAACCCGCAGAAGCATTTTATCGGTGTTGAACTCTGTATACGACCCCCTAGGGTTCATAGCGCCAGTCATGCTGACAGGGAAAGGAATACTGCAGGACCTGTGCAAGCTAAATTGTGGATGTGATGAAACAATACCTACTGCTTACACAGAGAGATGGACGGAATGGCTAAAAGATCTTAACCTGATTTCCAGCCTAAGAATCAGGAGATGCCTTAAGTCACAAGATTTTGAAGTTGCTAGAGCACAGATGCACCACTTCTGCGACGCAAGTGAGCGAGGTTACGGGACAGTCAGCTACTTGAAACATGGCAGTAAAGTTGGACTACCTCACATAATGTTTGGGATTGGGAAATCATGAGTTGCACCCTTAAAGCTGGTGACAACTCCACGTCTGGAGCTTGCTAGTGCAGTTCTCGCTGCTAGGATAGACAGGATGTTGAGGAGAGAGCTCGAGTTAACCCTCGAGGACTCAGTCTTTTGGACCGACAGTACCGCTGTCTTAAAATACATCCAAAATGACGCAAGAAGTGTCCACTATTTGGGATCTGACACACAAATTCCAATGGCGCCACATAAAGACAGAGCTCAACCCCGCAGACATGGCATCAAGAGGCATGAAAACCGAGAAGTTCATTCAAGAAGAACATTGGCTGAGTGGTCCAAATTTCCTGATGCAACCGGAAACTGACTGGCCAGTGATTCAAGTACCACCCACGCTGTATGACAGTGACTCAGAGGTCAAGAAGGTGGCCATGGCTTTCACTACAAGTATACTGCAGAATGAAAGGCCACTGACTCGTTTTATTGAGCACTTCTCATGATGGAACAAATTGATCCAATCATCAGCCTGGATATTAAAATTCAAAGAAACTCTGAGACGAAAGAAAATGAGTAACACATACCCAACTGGGTCGCAGCTGTCCATGGAGGATTTAGCCAAGGCAGAGCAATCACTTGTGTCTTATGTCCAACAACAATCCTTCAAAGATGAGGTGACCTCTCTACAAAGGGGCTTACCCGTAAAGAGAAACAGTAGGATCTATAGACTAGATCCTATCCTCTAACATGGAATCCTGAGAGTCGGAGGCAGACTAAGTAAGTTGGCAATGCCAGAGGAAACCAAACATCCTGCTATTCTACCAACAACCACCTGTCAAAGATACTCCTACACCACACCCACACCTCGATGGCTCATTGTGGAAGAAATGAACTTATCGCAAAACTCAGGACAAAATACTGGATTCTAAGAGTAAATTCTGCTGCAAGAAAGATAACAAGGGACTGTGTACTTTGCAGGAGATGGCATGGCACAGCAATGACACAAAAAATGTCCGACCTACCGCTACACAGGATAACACCTGATTTGCCGCCCTTCACCCATACAGGACTAGACTACTTTGGGCCCATAGAAGTCAAGCACGGCCGCAGAAAAGTAAAACGGTATGGAGCCTTGTTTACGTGCCTAGCAAGCAGAGCCGTACATCTGGAGATGGCCTACTCAATGGATACTCATGTATTTCTGCACTGCGAAGATTCATCTGCAGACGAGGCCAAGTGAAAGAAATTGTTTCCGATAACGGTACTAATTTTGTCGGAACTGATCGAGAGCTTCGAGAAGCACTTTGACCTCAGTAAGATCCAGCATTCGATGCACGCTGAAGGTATCAAATGGACATTCAACCCCCCTTATGGTGCTCATCATGGAGGCGTATAGGAACGACTCATCCGGATGATAAAAAAGAACCTCTACTCCATCACAAGGGAACATATCCTGGATGACGAGAGTCTCCAAACAGCTCTATGTGAAGTAGAGGCAATCATGAATGACCGGCCCATCACAGTCTTATCCCAAGATGCAAAAGATCCAGAACCTCTGACACCCAACCACCTGCTTCAAATGAAGCGAATGCCGACTCTTCCACCTGGACTCTTCGACAAAAGTGATACCTATTCCAGACGAAGATGGAAGCAGACTCAGTATATAGTGGATCTCTTCTGGAAACGCTGGATACGAGAGTACCTCCCATTGCTACAGGAGAGACAGAAATGGAATAAGATCAAAAGGAACCTAAAGCATGGAGACATAATGCTGATCATTGATGAAAGCTCACCACGCAACTCCTGGCCTATGGGGCGAATCACGGAAACCTTTCCCGGCAAAAGGGGACATGTACGTTGTGTCAAGATCAGGACACAAAATGGCACCTTGGAAAGGCCCATCACAAAGCTGTGCCTTCTACAAAACATGCCCTGATTAGATCCTCGAATAGACTTTGCCCCCTTTTCTTCGACCCTTGAGAGAACTCATTTTCCTTTTCTCAGGAATTTTTTGAACCCGTTTTGCAAAAAGGACTATCGAAACTAAATGGATTATATTTTTGGCCTTTTTTCTTATTAAATGTATGAATTGTCCTATACCGGTCAATTAGGGGCCGGAGTGTAGAAGCCATTCCACCACATTTGTATCGTGCATAATGAAACTGCCTTTTCTGTTGATTTATTTGTGATGATGTAATGATGACGTCAGGGGGCGTCGGCTATTTAAATGTCACCTGAGTAAGGCCAGGTGTGTGTTTTCTATTTTGAAAGCGGAAGGAGATACTATTTTTGACCGCATTACGCATTGAATTCTCCGTTTGTTATGAGTGTGATTTAGGTTGTTTTTGCCGAACAATGAATAAAAGAATATTGAAGTGACAATACGAGCAAATGCGCGTTGATTTTACCGACTGCTCCTACGCTTTTGCCTGCACAATACACAAGGTTCAGGGTATGACAAGGACGTCAGCTGTAGTGTCACTGAAACACATTTTTGAACCTGCCGTGGCTTATGTAGCTATCAGTAGAGTGACCTCTCTCAGTGGACTGCACATGCTGGATCTGGATGAGAGCAAAATCTATGCCAACCCAGAAATCACTGGAGCCCTCGAGACCATGAGACAAGTCAACTTGGACGACATGATGCCTCTTCTTTGTATCACACAGACATCGAGCAGACGTGACACTCTGACCATTGTTCACCATAACACTGAAGGTTTGCCATCTCACATCAATGACATCAGGAGCCATCATGAACTGTGTCTTGCAGATGTTTTGTGTCTCACAGAAACTCACCTTCAAGGGTCCTTTGTTGCAGAGAGTCTCCATTTAGAGGGCTACAACATGTTCAAACGCAACAGACACCTGTCCTACACAAATGTTCCACAAATAAACAACAGAGGTGGTGGTGGAGTTGCTGTTTCAAGAGCCAGATTCAGGTGCGTGAGAAACAGTACGTACATAATGTGACCGATCTTGAGTTTGTGGCTCTGAAGGTAGAAGCCCCAGTGAGAGCCCTGGTTGCAGCTGTGTACAGACCTCCAGACTACAGTGTGAGATCATTCCTGTCCAACCTGGGGAGCCTGCTGGACTCATTGGAGATCATGGACTGTCAGCCCATCATTGTCTGTGGTGATTTCAACGAGAATCTCTTCTCCAACACTGGTAAGCCAATGTAAGCCCTTTCAAGTGGGGGGCTGCAGTTTGACCCTCACAAAAGTGAGACACTTGATTATACAGAGGAGGGGGATCCGCCATACAGCCGTTTCCATCTTTCCACCACAGCAGGGCCTTCATTCTGTTACAGTAAAAAACATGTCACTTGACACAATCATGTTTTCTGTCTACATTCCTCCAACAGGTCTTAAAATTGTCAGGTAAGATCAAAATCTACTGAGAATCGTGTACTTTTTTTAACAATACCACATTGTTATTAGTCTGGGATTATGTAATCATCAATGTAAAGAAAACTGAATCATCTGGTCAAACTAGTTGTTGCACTGTAATAATATTGTAGAATGGGGTCATTTTAAGTGTTCACAGTATTGGATAATATTATGGGTCATATAGTTTTCCAGGTAACCATGTTATTTTTAGCAATATTTCTAACATATTCTGGCCTGTGCATTTATCAGGGTGGGTTTGGGTCAGGGTTGATAAATGCACAGGCCAAAACTCTTCCAGCAGCTGTGTACAATGTAAAATTCATTGTACACAGCTGCTGACATTTTGTGTAGCAGACGCACATCAGAAAGTATGTGTTGTAGATGTAACACATACTTTCTGATGTACCTACCAGCTGAAACCCCACACTTCTATCCCCATTAATTTAATTTTAATTATCCTGTGTTCTCTGTAGTGTTATGTTTCCTTTGTATTGAAAGCAGTCACAATTGTCATGTTTCCCATGTAGTGTTAAGTTTCCTTTGTAATGGACAGAAGACACAGTCCTCCTGTGTCCTCTTTAGTATTGCGTTTCCTTTCCGATGGACAGGAGACAAAGTTCTCATGTGTCTTTGTAGTGTTAAGTTTCCTTTCCGATGGACTGGAGACACAGTTATCATGTGTCTTTGTAGTGTTAAGTTTCCTTTCTGATGGACAGGAGACACAGTCCTCCCTTGTCCTCTGTAAAGACATCTTCTTGGCCTCACCTCCTTCTGCACTGTGAGGATCAGCTCACAGCATCTAAGACATGACAAAGACTGCAGCACCAACTGAACTGTCAATCAACTGAGGACCCATCACAGTTAGACCTCATAGGGACACATTTGACTTCCTGCCTGTCCCCGTCATTCTTCAAAGCAAAGGACGAGAAAACACCTGCCTGTCTTTGCCTCACTTCCTGTCTGGCTCTGAGATTCTGGATCAGCTCATACCGACCAGGACATCCTGCCACCACTGCAGCAGCAGAGCAGATGTTGAAGCACCGTGTTAACTGTTCATCATCAGTGGACACATGCTGGACCACAGAGACACGTGTTCTCCCTGCCAGTGTTGAGGTTTCTTCGCAACAGATAATAAGGTATTGTTTTCTTATTTCATATGTGAGTTCTAATGTTTTGTTTTAATTTTGTTATCATTCACGTATTCATTTTGTATGAATGCAATATTCTTAATAACACTAATCGTACATCCAATATAACATTCTAATTTTATATCCACTTCTTCCTTCAGGTCTTCCTCCTTTCGGATTCCTCCACTTCACAGTGAAGACACTCAGGACTGCAGAGAGGGCTGAACACATAAAAGAAGCTCAACATCATCAATTCAGTTGCACTGTACCTATATGTTGATCTGCTCTGCAGCAGAGTTCAAGGTATTTCATTACTGTGAATTATAAACCTTTTTAGAAAGTTTAGTCTGTCTTTAGTTTCTAACAATAACTTCCTGTTTTATTTTTGTCAGGATCAGGTGTGTGACTGCAAGGAAGAGTCATCAGTCAGTCATCACTGTCCCAGTGACAGCCCCACCTTTATGCAGCTTCAAGCTCCTCCCTAAACCAGCTGTAAAGGTAACAATTGGGATTAGATATTTTTAAAAATATATATCTCTGACCACAACAAAACAATCCCCTGGTGGTCTTCCTACTTGCATGTGATATTTACATTTTAACAACATTAATACATTTTCTCCTGTTTCTGTCTTTAAGGCCTCTCCTCCATGTTGCTATAGTAACACTATCCTGACGTGATGACTGGAGCCAAAGGTCATAATATTACAGGTCTTTAAAGCATACACTACTAACTCATGAACAGTATTACTACAGGACACCTGTCTATTTTGTTTGTTTCATCTCTACCGTATTTGATCTAACAATATATGTATTCTTTATGTTTCAGCCACTTTTTTGTGTTAATTGTTCTTATTTATTTATTTATGTCATCCGTCCCTTTTCAGTCAGTTTTCTAACAGATATATAAGAAAATTAAGGATGTAAATGTTTGTTTGATTGCCTCGTCCATATGAGCAAATTAACATCAAGGAATGACATATTTGTATCACAATGAGTCATTACTATGGGGTTTCAGCTGGTAGATATATTCAAGGTTTTTCACATGTGTACACCGATCCTTAGGATAACCTAAGCTCTACTGAGACTGCCCAGTGTTAAATTGTAAGACATCAAGTGTGTCATCTTCAGATGGCTAAAACATGACCAGGGCTCCTGGACCTTGAAGTCTTGAGCTGAGTATTAACCTAGGTCTGGAAACAATGTGAAAAGCCTTTAATTATAGGAAATTAACCATATTGTTTACTATTGAAACTATAGTAAATGTATTCATGAATAACAAACAAAGGGACCAATGTTCACAAAACTGTGTTGATAAATTTCTCACTCATCTTACACAAAATACATTATGGTCAATACAACAGTACTTGTGCACTGTACTCATCTATAGTATTTTATTATATATCGATAGAAGATAATGAGTCAAAAAAGGATGTAAAGACAGGATGTAAATGCATCTTTTGAAATATAGCACCCACCTCAAACTACTGGTAGTGACAAAATAATATTCTGCCTGGTCTGTGGTATACATCTATTTAAAACGTTTTTCTTATAGGCACTATGGGTTCATCTTGTGGGATCTTTGTGGATAAAAACGTCTTCCGCAGAAAGCCTTTCCTTTTTCTTGATTTCCAATTCTCTTTACAGTTCTTCTTTTTAATTCGCTTGAGAGCACTTAAATTATGATGAATCAGTTTAACTGTAACTTATTTCAGATTAATAAGTCATCCTTACTTGAACAATTAAATATACAAAGAGAAAAGCATTTTTACTTTGCCAGTTTTCATTTCCACATGTACAGAGAATCTTTATTGACATTTTTATAATTGCTATTGTTTTTCCTCAATAAAATCGAGTGATTTATATTTTTGCATGAGCAATATGGCTGTTCTGTATGTTAGTCTTTGACATGCTAATACTAATTACTGTTTTAATTCTTTTTAAAATATTGATTCACAAAATTGTATTCTAAATGTAAACAAATAAAATGTTTGTAATGAGGTCACTGTCTGCTTTATACTCGATGCAACACTGAGACTACTACTGATTTTTACGACTACACCTGCTGCTGCTACAGTTACTATTGACATAAAAATGGTTGACTTATTGGCATTAACACTTTTTCAGCAAAGCCATTGGAAATTTCAATATTTTCAGCAATTTCAATTAATTTAATCTTTGAGCTTGCTGGTACTTTGTCATTTCTATATCATGAGCATTTTTTTAATTCATTTCAGTTTTTCGGCTTGCTGGTACATTTTCGGATTTCTGTATTTTCAGCAGTTTTTGAAATGAATTTTAGCTTATTATTTCTGTCTTTTTTCGCAACATTTCACATTCATTTCAGCTGTTTTCATTTCTGCTTTTTCAGCAATTCTATTGAAATTCTCTTCAGCTTCTCCCATTTCTGTATTTTCAGCAATTTCAAATTAATTTCAGCTTTTCTAATATCTGTAATTTAAGCAAATGTATTCAAATTCCCTTCAACTTTCTGTAATTTCAGCTATTTTTAAAAATTCATTTCAGCTTTCAGCTTTTTGCATTCCAACGCATTTTCAGCAGGAAATGCATTTTCTAGTTGGAACTCAAGTTTGTTGCCTTCCTGATTCATTGTTTTACCTTTTTATGTAGTCGTATTTCTTTGCTTGTATTGCTTTGTGTTGATATTGAATATTACTGTAAATTAAGCTGCTGGTACAATTCTTACAAGATCATCCATGTTCAGTCCGATGGGTGACAAATGTAATGGAAACCCTCAATAAATGGGGGAAAATAACTAATGCTGACGCTTCGGTACGGATTAACAATTTAAGAAATAAATCAGAATGTATTGACTTACAATGCTTACCCAACTTTGACTAGAAATACTCTGTTACCATTATTCGTGTGGAGTTCTGAACTTCTGATCAAGGAACACTACTATTACCCTCGCCTCTCCTGAGAGTTATAAATAGTTAACTGGCTTGAGTTTTTAAATAATTGAATAACTAACATAAATAATAAGCAGTTACAAAGTGAAATAAAGTATGAAATAGTTTAAATATTATTTCGTGAAATGGAGAAGTCCCCTCGTCTAGTCTCATATGACCATCACTATTGGTTCACAGGAGGCTTCTGTCTGGTCCTTCTCCAGCTCAGCAGGGGGCGTGTCCCTTTTGCTGTTGTTGTATGTGATCGGCTGCACATTCAAACCCAGCTCATGAATTCCTTTCTGCTCCAAAGCATCACATGACTCCCTCCTGGTTCCATCTGATGGCCGAATGAGAAATCCCTCACTGACCTGACCGATCCCTGTTCACTTAATACTGCGGTACATTCAATGATCACACCTCTGGCTTAAAGCTTCGTCATGTAAACCCGGATTTTGTTTCTAATTAAACTTACGAGTGATCATTACTTATTCTTTTATGTTTAGTAAAAACCTGCTATCATTACTAAACAACATTAGTTGTTAGTACTAATTAGCTGAAAAATTCATTGCACTAATCATTTTTAGCACAGATAACTCGGTATGTTTACTTTTGCAATAAAGGGGAGGGGCTAATTCAAAAAGCTGCCTGGTCACGTGACCAGACCAACGTCTAACGTGCGTCCAAGAGGCTCTTCACCTGGCGGGACGAGCACAGGCATCGGCAGCAGACGGAATCCAAGAAAGCAACCTTACCACCTCGAAGTGGAATGGTTAGTATGTAAAATAACTATTGTAGCCTAGTTATCTTTGTGGGAATGTTTAATACCCAAAAGCCTGCAGATAATTTGACGCAGCTTTTATTTCCGTCTAATGTTAATGTTTGAACCTGTGCATGGTGTTAATACATGCTTATTGCTAAAACTAGCTAGCTAGCTACTCAAAAAGTGTTAGCTGAACTTAAAGTTAACTTAGTGTTAACAGTCTGAGGACGGCTCGCATACCGTTAGTTTGTTCGACTGTATCACTTATTCAACCGCCATTTTACGCAATAGAAAAACGATTCAACCGCTGTCGGGGCAAATTACATCCGCTGTGGAGGTGTTTAGCTACACCCGAGCTACTTGCAGCCATTGATTCACTGGTCGCTCTCTTTTCCCCTCTCACTCTCTACACACGCCTGCTAGAAACAGGACCGACGGCTATTTCACGCCACACGCAAGCATTGGAAGCGTTTCCAGGCTAAATTTTATATGAAAAGATATATTAGTATATTTCATTTTGACATGAATACAAATTAATAAATGGCATGTTGATGTTCGAAAGTCTCGAGTTTATGACATAAATGCAGATATACAAATGTAATTTAAAAAACAAAAAGATGATCGATTTTCAAATATTGCACCTGTACAGAATGCAATATACTGTAGTGTATTTACCGTCAATACTGCCGACGTTGTCTTTGCTGTAATCAAATCAGTATATATTGATGTGTAACATGAAGTATACTGCTTGAGTGCAGTAAATCAATGGGAAACATGCATGTGTCCAGACAAGGCTAGCAGCAGCAGCGCCGCGTCCGACACGTTTCTGGTGTGAAAAGACAGAAAAATCCACGCAGCTGACACGCAACAGAAATGCCACGCCGGCAGTGTGTAACCGGCCTCACACACGCTTGTTTTCATGCCGGTTTTCTCTGTAACACAGGTGTTGTTTCGGTTTTATTACCTTATTGTATTTAACAGTGACATTGTTGTGCTGAGTTGTTGACCTAAACAGTTTCTTGTTTTACAGATTCTTGTGGTGTGAGGATGCTGTGGAAGTGTAAGTACTGTGAGTTTATCTGTGAGAAAAGGGGTTACCTTTTAAAACATTATCAGTTAAAACACGGAAACTATGGTAGAACTGTCCCATTTCCCTGCTTACACCAACAATGTGTGTGCATTTGATCAGGCAGCCCTGGAGGCCTGTAAAGACTTGGTTGATGAAATGCAGAAGAGAACACCAAATGGACCTCTTGTGAAACAGAAGATGGATCAGACGTTTGCTCTGAGAAGAAAAGAGGTAGTGGAGTCGGAACCTGCCATAAGCACGATGGTGAGATGCTGGCCTGCCCTTTTCACTGAAGATCAAGTATGTTTAAGAAAGAGAACATAACAAATAATTATCTTTCTATTATATAATGTGTCTAGATGTATATTTCTCTTGTCCTCTTTAAAGGAAATATTGGTATTCTTAATTTGGGGCATGATGTTTTTAATTTAAACATCAACATTTCAAATCGTATAAAAAGGACATTCATGGATGTTTTTCAGGACAGCACTACTTCGCAGATGGCTAAGCTGCCTTGTATAGTTCAGTTGATCTAAATTCAGATTTTTATTGTTCTCTGTATTTTTCAGGTCTTCATGGAGTTCAGCAGGATTGTGGGCAAGAACCTCAAGACGGAATTCTATGAGAGCATCGACCGGCACAGTCCTCGTCTCCTCGAGTTATTTGGATCCAAGAGAGGGAATGTTGGACAGTTGTTGACACATATTTTACAACAGACCAATGTAAGTCCACACACATTATGTACTTGGCATTGTTTTTCTTGGGTTAGGTATAAACATCATATCACTATGCTACTCTATTAGTTGCATAATTCTATCCAAACATTGCTCGGCCTGTTTAAGATTTCTTAGAGATCATTACCGTATTTTGCGCACGAAAAGACGCACCGCATCAAAAGGCGCACCTTCAATAAATGACGTATTTTAATTATTTTTACATATATAAGGCGCATCGCATCATAAGGCGCACCTTTAATAAAACGCTTCGCATAAGGCGCTAAAGTAGAGGCTGGAGTTACGGTGCGTTATGCATCCATTAGATGCATAACGCATCCATTAGATCAGGGGTCGGGGACTTATGGCTCGCGAGTCACATGTGGCTCTTTTGACGACTGCATCTGGCTCTCAGATAAATCTTAACTTATATTCCTTAACACGATATGTAAGAAATAATTCCGCTGGAAATCACAGTGTTAAAATAACGATCACACTGTAACTTAGAGCTTTAGCTGCTTGGGCTGTTTCCGCAGAGATTTTGACTCTTACAAAGATCATCGCTGTATGAAACGATGCCACACTCTGTGATATTTCCTGACAATAGAACGCTAGTCACGCACAGAGAGAGAGAGAGTGTGTGACATCCTCACTGCAGAAAGGATCTGTGTTCACACAGACACAACAGCGCTGAACCAAACAGGTGACAGCGTCTTAGCAGAAGTGGAGCGCATTTCACTTTTCCTGCGTTTTACTCGTTTTTAATTAATTAAGTGCAAATAAATCTTGTGCTTATCAACGATTAGCGCCAATTTGTGATTTCAATAAATATACTTAAAATATTTTGGTCCTGTGGTGTGCCTCGTGTGTGCCTGACTGATGGATGCGTTATGCATCTAATGATTAGCAGTCAGATAGGTCAGTCAAACTTTATTAACAAGAAAACAAAACAACAAAGCAACAAGCAACAAGAACAATAATAACTCTGTAAACGTAAAGCTCACTTTCTCAGTTCCTTATCTAAAATCCCTCGAAAACTTCTTCTTCCGTGTCCGAATTGAACAGCTGGGCTATTGCGGCATCCAAAACGCCTGGCTCCGTCTTATCAAAGTCATCATTAACCGAGTCAGTGTCGCTGCTGTTGTCTGGCAGTTCGGTGACAATTCCTGCCTTCCTAAAAGCTCGGACCACAGTTGTGACTGATATACCAGCCCAGGCATTTACTATCCACTTGCAGATATTAGCATATGTCGTCCGGCGCTGTCTCCCCGTCTTGGTGAACGTGTGTTCGCCTTCGGTCATCCACTGCTCCCACGCAGTTCGCAGTCGAGCTTTGAATGCTCTGTTGACGCCAACATCGAGCGGCTGGAGTTCTTTTGTTAATCCACCCGGAATGACGGCGAGCACTGAATTAGTGTGCTTCACTTGTTTTTTGACATGCTCGGTGATATGTGCGCGCATGGAGTCATAGATCAATAGGGACGGAGCTGTGTGAAAAAAACCACCCGGTCTCTTCACATAAATTTCTCTCAACCACTCACTCATCTTTTCTTCATCCATCCATCCCTTCGAGTTAGCTTTTATGACAATGCCAGCTGGAAAGTTTTCTTTCGGCAAGGTCTTCCTCTTGAAAATAACCATGGGTGGAAGTTTGTGGCCATTAGCCTGGCAGGCGAGAACTACAGTGAAGGACGTTTTCTCATTCCCTGTGGTGCGAATATTCACCGTACGTGCTCCTGTTTTATCCACAGTGCGGTTTACAGGGATATCGAAGGTGAGTGGAACCTCGTCCATATTGATGATATGCTCTGGCTGGATCTTTTTTTCAGTTATCTTGTTTCTGCAGTATGTGCGGAAAGTGGCCAACTTTTCCTGATAATCAGCTGGTAGTTGTTGTGACACAGTAGTGCGCGTACGGATGGAGAGATGACGTCGTTTCATAAAACGGAAGCACCAAGAAGGACCGCCTCTGAATTCACTGATGTTATGTTCGCGAGCTAGCGCTATTGCCTTCATACGAATTGTGACTGTACTAACACTTCTGCTTGCTGCTCTTTGTTCAGCAACCCACTGTTCAACTTTGTCCTCTAACTGTGGCCATCTCGCTTTGTTCCCGCGGAAACTCTGTGTTGTCTTCTTTACTTGGCGGAGCTCATCCTCATACTTCCTCCACTTCCTCACCATTGATTCATTGATATTAAATTCTCTCGCTGCTGCTCTATTGCCGTGTTCTTGTGCGTGGCTTATCGCCTTGAGTTTAAACTCAGCGTTGTACGCGTGTCTTTTGGTAGGAGCCATTTCAGGGTATTTACAAAAATATTAAAATGGAAATGAAACGCCAGTTTCCCGGTATCCCAGCATGCACTGCGCACTATTACGGGAGAAAATCGAGTCGCGGCTGCTTACCGTAACTGAGACCTGTATGCGTTTTAATACTGGGCCATATACAAGGCGCATTGTATTATTAGGCGCATGATCAGCTTTTGAAACGATTGAAGGCGTTTAGGTGCGCCTAATCGTGCGGAAAATACGGTATTTGTTTTTCATTTGAGCTATCTAACTTGTGGTACTGTGTTTAATTCCCAAAAGACTACAGAGCCAACTGAGTGTCAGAGGGCTTCCTATCATCCTGGGGACAACCCCACAGACTTCTTCAAAGGAGGCTTTGTAAGTAAGCTCTTGCTTTCTTATCATTTTTAATGAAAGTTTTTTTTCAACTGAGAAATAGAATGTAATGAGTGGGCTCTTCTGTTTTTCTTTATTTAGGAATCTGACGATGAGGATTCTTTTTGTGACCCAGACTTTGGGATACTTCTTATTGAGCGTGAAGGTGCTGTGCTCACATCTTCCCAGCATCTCAGTCCAGCCTCGTTGGAAATCATCATTGAGGGAGAAGTCGTGATGGACAACATTCAAGATCTGCCAAAAGCAATGTGCATTCTGTTTGGACTCATGTATGCACTCCATCTTAACTACCCCAAGACTATGAAGCTCACATTTCAGTTCATCCAACAGGTATTGCTCTTGTTAGGCCACACTGACCTAAAGCCAAAGCTACAGACTTTGAAAAATCAGCTCGCAATGTAAAGAGATGTCAAGTCTACTTTTAAGAAACTGTTGAATATTTTTTTTTTCTTACCTGTGGGGTAAACCCTTTTATTTTCTGTAAAACAGGTGGACAAACAGACGCATAAAACGCACACACACACACACAGACACATACAACACCCACAAACAAAACTGACACACCTATACACATATTTTGTGGGAAGCGTGCTAAAGGATGTGACTTGTAGCGGAGTTGTAGCGGAAAGACATAGGAGATTGTTATATTATATACATGTTTCAGTTCTTCATCAGTCTATGTAGATGGAATTAGATATTGTTCTGATATGATAGTCTGTTGGTTCATGCTCTGGCCTCCCTTCATTGAGGCAGATGAAACGGATCCTTTTTGTGATTAGCTGTGTTTGCCCATTTTTCTTAAAAGTAAAATGCATTGGAGCATTTACAGGTGTTTCTGTTTTTTTTATCCAATTTAATTGAAACAATGTTTAATAACGTATTTAAATACCAATCAAAAGCAAATTAAATTAGAGGAAAATACAATAATTGTGTTAAATGATGAGTAGCAATAACAAGTCATAATAGCTAGTTTTATCTAATGATTTTGAGTACACACTACTAATAAATATAAATACTAAACTTAAGGTTCCACGTTAATACAACGCAACATGTTTAGTTTCAGCTTGTATAAAAACTTAAGGTTCCACGTTAATACAACACAACATTTCTAGTTTCAGGTTGTGTAATAACGTAAGGTTCCACGTTAATACAACGCAACATGTTTAGTTTCAGGTTGTGTAAAAACTTAAGGTTCCACGTTAATACAACACAACATTTCTAGTTTCAGGTTGTGTAATAACGTAAGGTTCCACGTTAATACAACACAACATTTCTAGTTTCAGGTTGTGTAATAACGTAAGGTTCCACGTTAATACAACACAACATTTCTAGTTTCAGGTTGTGTAATAACGTAAGGTTCCACGTTAATACAACACAACATTTCTAGTTTCAGGTTGTGTAATAACGTAAGGTTCCACGTTAATACAACGCAACATGTTTAGTTTCAGGTTGTGTAAAAACTTAAGGTTCCACGTTAGTACAACGCAATATGTTTAGTTTCAGCTTGTATAAAAACTTAAGGTTCCACGTTAATACAACGCAACATTTCTAGTTTCAGCTTGTGTAAAAACTAAAGTGGGATAGGGCAACGGGTTTCCACGCGATTCGCGAGTAAAGTCAACTAATTCGGGTTTACAGTGTGTAAACATAACATAGCATGCATAATATCATCATCCAATAGCCAGTGCTCTTTAATAATAACACATCTTAAATCATCACACCTTAACCATTATGTTTAACTCAGTTCTATATGGTCCATATTGGTTTGCCACGCAGGGCTGTCAAACATCCTTTGCTCATACCTGACAGGAGTAAAAACTACCAAAAAACCCTCTTTGGGGAGAAAATTGGAGAGAAAAGCATAAAGGACAATTACCATCCGTCCCCAGGTTTCAACATTACATCGTGACAGGATGTTAATGTGTGCAGTCATTATATGACTTAAATGTCTATAAATTGTGTTTTATTGATATTGCAATTATCTAACATCACCAAACTACAATTCAAAACACTAAACATTACTATAGGTGTTATAATTTCTACCGCTAGTTGTGCTCTACTGCTTAAATCCCTAACATTAGTGCATTGAATCTGGTAAAACAGTTTGAGGTCTAATTAGCTAAAAGAAAACCTGGAGGGGCAGAACCTTTATTTGCAATACTAGCTGTAATATGCAATGTGTGCCTGTGCCTTGGAAGTATAAAGTAGCCTAAAATGGGAAAACCTGAAAGAAGTGGAAGTTCCTCAAAATAGTGTTTAAGTACGGTTCGTAAGTAAATGTTCGTTATAACCAACGTCACCGCATCAGTGTGGTCTTTTCCAGGATGACAATGCTCCCATTGTGTATGCCAATTCAACACCTATTTGGGATTTTTGGGGCAATTTCTGAACCAAAGATACAAGATTTATAAAAACCAAGAGAAGAACATCTAACTGATAGAAAATGATTGAAATTAAAAATGTGTGAGGAGTGACAACTTTCCCCAGATTAATGCCAATGACAAATTAGACATTTTGCAAATATTATAATGTAAATTTCCATCGGAATGTACAGCAATATATGTTAATAAATAATTAATAATAAAAACAAACGATTATTTATAATAATCACAATTTTACAGTCAAAATAATACATTACATGAAAACTGATTCAAAATAAAACACAGGATTTCACAGCAAGTTTAAGGAGGTGGACAAGTGACGCAGGAAAGTCAGATGATTTGATGACATAGCTACTCGTTTGTGCTTGTAGGAACGCGCTCCTGGGACTTCAGCATTCAGAGGACGTTTTGTATTTGTTGTATCAGGCTTGACCAAATGGATCTCATCAAAAGAGAAAAATTTAGTTTATTTTTATCATCTATAGAGAGATAGAGACATTCAGATGTCACACACGAACAATTCTAAATTATTTTCATATTCAAAATATATTGTATATTAGTTTTGACAGTCCTGAAATTTAACTGAATAATAATCAGGGTTTTTCTGTTTCCTTCACAAAATCTGATCAGTTTTTCCATGATAATTTAAGAAGAAATACCCTTTAGAATGGTGTAAACAATAATGCGGTCGGACAATGTGTCTAAAAGTACTGTTGTTTCGCTCGCGTGATGTCAATAACTAAGAATTTTGTGATGTGCTTAAAAATATCACAACTTTTATTCTCTTCAAGTTTTATCAACATTTATAGGCACGTGGATAGACCATCTGAGCAATCGTCATGATAATGACAGACAAAACTTTTTTCATGTTGTCTACTATCCCCTGTGCATCTTGGTCACATTTCTGAAAACAACTGTCCTAACATCCTTCATTTTCAAAACATTTTTTTATTCTGACCAGCAGCAGTTCAAACGTAACATATGGCTTTGCACAAGAGATGGTTAAAACATTAAAACATACAAAATTCTTTGTATATCACAAGTGACATTACCAATGGAAATTTTATTAAACCTCAAAAAACTTCATTGATACCATTTTACCATTAAATAGATAATATCTTTTAGATGTTCTATCCGCTGCGGAAGCTTCACACGCACACAAACTGCTTCAACTGTCAGATTCAGTGCTAAATAGACACTACAATGTTGTACCACACAGGGGACGGTCAAGTGTTTCCTCCAATTCCACTTCAAGTGCATCCTAGCGAGTTTAAGGCCTGAGGTGTGCGTTGATTCCTTGACTCATTCTTCCTTCTTTGAGTCAGACCAAGTGACCCCTGCACACTTACTCTCTTCTTTATTGCTGTCCAGAGAGGCTACAGATGTGTGCCAAGAGATGCATCTCATATGTGTGAATCCCTACACTTTATGCAAAAATATCCTTAAAGCTGGGGACTTGTGGGACAGGTAAGGGTAACGGAGGACGGAGGTGTTATCAACCAACAATAACAATCCATCGGCAGAACGAGAGAGAGACAGGAACGCACACGGTCACCATGGTTTACGGATACCGTGGAAAACTTGGCAGGTAATCAGTTGAATGTTGAACCAGACGGGAAACATAACCGATTGGCCACACAAGACGAGGGTTGGCTCCCTCAAGCTCTCGAGTGCAGAGGGATCTGGCTCCAGCTTGTCTTGTTACTGGTTTGTTGGTGTCAGAGGTGTATCTGCCTGGGAGTTGGTGTCAGAGGTCACCTCGGCGTGTGCCCGTTGACTTGCCCCCTGCCCCATTGTATGTTCGGTAGTGTCAAACACCTCCTGAAGTGCTCAAGCTGGGCCTGAAGTCTGTCCCTCTCCTCTCTCACCTTCTGCCTCTGACTCACCAGGTCCTGGCAAATGAAGGGCAGACATTAGTCTCATTACAGAACCATGACTTTCTGTAGCAGGCTACATCACTAACAAACAATCAATAATAACAATAAAAGATGAAAGTACAAAATTGTGCTCGCAGATACGTTGTCAGATACTTACACCCATAGTGAGAGTGAGCTGCTCGGCGGTTCTGGTCAGATTGTAATTCTGTGCTTCAAGTCTTTTACACTGACTGTGAAGAACATGCCTCTCTATACTCCATTCTGTGCAGAGAGAAACCACAAGCGAGGAGAAATTACATTCATTCTAATACTCCTTTCACATGATGATGATAAGGGGAATAGTGGAGTCCATTGACAGACACTAAACCGATCGGACACCGACTCACCATCCACATACTCGTGGTAGGCCTCAAAGATAGCTTCAATACCCTGCCACTTCCTCGGTGCTTCTTCAATCTCCACCTCATCGCCTTCCTCCTCCTGACCAGACTCTTCCTCGTCCTCATCAGACAGGTCTTCGCGCGGTTCTGGAGTGTCCCTGCCGGCTGCAAGGGGGTGGAAGTGATAGCCGTTGATCTGTCCGTGCTGAAGTGCGTGGATAAGAGGATACGGAGTGGATGAGTTTTTCAGTTGAGAGACGCTGTGAGGCATCGCGCCGTCCTCTGGGCAACAGCTCGAGACTCCTTAGAAGAAATGAGTTAGACAAAAAGGGCCAAGTCAGTCTTTTCAGCCAAGATTGGTTACTACTAACATGAATGTCAATTTTGAGAATGTTGCACATAAACACCACTAGGTGGCAGAAGATTGTCATTTTAAAGTTCACCTTCAGGCCTTAATGGTCCTGCACCTAAGGGAGAGAGAGGCTGACCTTTGTTCTGCAGTGTGCTATGTGTGGACTGCAGCACGGCCTGGTGGAAGTGCTGAGCAAAAGCCTCCGGTGTAAACCTCTCCCAGGGCCGATTCCGTCCATTCTGCACCGGATTGGATTCTTTTTTGTGTGGGGAAGCAACGGCGTTCTGGAGGCCCTGGAGCTTCCTGTTTGGCTGAGCCTCCGTGAATTCGGCCTTTTCAGGGTGGGGGTTCAAAGGTGGCGGATTGTGGGACGTGTGGGTGTCCACGGAGGGTTTGAATGTGTCATTATGGGCGAGATGTTTGGGTTTGTGTAAGTAGGGAGGGGAGGGGCTGGGAGAGTCTGGGTACTGGTGTCCATTTGATTGACTCAGCAAAGAGGCGGATGAGGAGTCACCTGAAAATACATTTACAAAAGCTCCTTAGAAAGATGTTTTTCTGTGTTAAATAAGCGTATATGAGCATGTGTGTGTGTGTGTGTGTGTTTGCTGAAGCGTCTGTGTGTCTTACAAGTTAAGTTAGCAAGAGGACTGCTACACGGAGGTAAAGGGTTATATCTGAGTGTGTCTAATGTCACAGTCTTCCTTTGAATGGCCTTCAGCAGCCCCTCAGGCCTTTCCTTATCTACACAGAAAATGACAGAATGAGAACATCTGTCATTCATATTGCTTAAAATATTGACTGGCACAAGGAATTGACGGAAAAGGGTCAGCAAATGGGTGACTTGAGAATACAACACAATAGACAACCACAGATAACATATTTAATACCCCTTTCACCTGAAAATATCACAGTTATTTTCAGAGGAGCAGATTGGTCTGTACAGATGTATGTTGTTTTTTCTGGTTTATGTAGTTTACAGTAAAATTTCTGACATGCCGTTTTCAATAAATCCATTTTTGTGTGTATATCTATGTTTTTAGATGAATTAATATGAGTTTAACATCTAAATTCATACATTTTAGCAGAAACAGGGTGAAAACTACCCTCACTGGAGGACGTAGAACAGGGGTCTCAAACTCGCGGCCCGTGGGCCAATTGCGGCCCTCGGGACGATATTTTGTGGCCCCATCCTTAATATGAAAGTGTAATGTTAGTGCGGCCCGCAAGTTTTATACTGTAACCCCACTGTCAGCTGCTGTGTGGGACATGTTATGATGTTCTGGTTTCCTACTGTGTGCTTGTCCAGTGAACGTGGCATGCATGTGACTGACATGGGGGGCGGGTCGTGTGTGTCGGCCGAGGTGCAGAGAGCAGGAGGGTGAAATTCAGTTTCCTGCCCTCTTTCGCGCAGGTGATCATGTGACTAACCGTTAGCATCGCTCGTTTAATAAAGTTTTCCTTTACGACTCACACTAACAACACATGAAGCATCTGACGTCACCGACGAGCGTCTCCGTCCATTACTACGCAGCTTCGATTCACGTAACTTCACGTTTGGCTATAAAGGAATTCCACGGTCACATGACCTTAGGTCTCCCCCGCTGAGTTAAAGGAGGACTAGTGTTGTAGTCTCATTCGGACCGATCCCCCAGGGTGGGGTTCAATGACTGCTTTTGAAAGTGAGTGTTAAGTTGTGTTATTGTCGACCATGCCGTTCGGACGCTAGTCCGGCCCGCGTTCAGTTGAAGTGGGCTGCATCTGGCCCGCAGCTGATTTGAGTTTGAGACCCCTGACGTAGAAGATCCTGCCACACCCTCCTCCTAAGATGCTTCTTAACTTTCATTCCTCCCACTGCTCCTACAACCTCGGTAAATAACAAAACTGAGTGTAACTAAGTGTGTTATTTCCACAGGGAATCCCACTTCCACTCTGGAGAGAGCGAGTAACACCTAGGATGCTGTTACCTCTCTTCTGCTGTGGGCTGACGTGGGAGAGGTTGAACATAAGGAGGAAGTCTTTTTTGTCGTGCAGTTCAGGGGTGCAGTCCATCTGCTCTGCAGAGTATGGCGTAGTTAAGGGAGCCGGAGGTGCCGAAGGCGACGAGGCCTTCCTCTTGCTCCGCGCGGCCGGCGGAGAGGGGCTGCGCTCTCGCATCATCCTCCTCCTCTTTCGCCTTTTCCTCAGCAGAAGCTCGTCGCGATGGGCCAGCGTGGTCAGACCGCACGCGCGCAGGAAATCCACTTTCTTCGAACAGAGACATTTGGACGGGTGAGTATCACTCTAACAAACACTTTTCAAACTCTGTACTCACATGGGAAGTCTGTTTATGCACCTCGGAGGACGTGTCGAGTTTGAGTCGGGGCTGTTCCGTCACTCTCCTCAAATGAGCTTTTACCTCCTCCTCGTCGCTCTCATCGTACGACTCGTCCAGTTCATAGAAATAACCTGTGGAGAGAGAAGTTTTAGGTGTGTGTAGATATCTCCTCTGCCTGCCCACGAATCCATCCTCTTTCCACCTCTGCGCCTATTTACGCTCCATCATTCTGCTCACCTCCCTCTCGGGCCTCCCTCCTCTTCTTCTCCTCCAGGTCCAGTTTGCTGAGCAGCTGGCGGTGCTGCTGGAGAACCTCGTCATACACCAGTACACTGCTGGGCAGCTTACCCTGTCGCTCCCTTACCAGAGGCGGAGAAGCGGCCCGACACCGCCCCACCAGTTCAGCACCGGCGCGGGGAACAGACGGGGGCTCCATGGGCCTCTTGTGGAGGTTGTTGATGTGATGGCGGTGATAGAGGCTCTGGATGGCTCGGTCCTGGTCTGCCTGGTTCCAGGAACCTGCTTCTTGTAAACTAGCTCCAATCGTTGAGGTGTACCGCTCTGTGACCTCCGTCCGCCTTCTGCCTCCGTCTTCCTGCTTCTCCCCCCAGCTTACCGTCGGCCTGTCGGCTCTGGTCAGTCCTGGAGGCGGCCGGCTTGGCGGGGTCGGAGGGTTCAGTTTTCTGCGGGAGTCGGAGGGGGTGCCGACGAAGGAGGCCGGGTTCCACAGTGTGGTCAAAGGGGCAGGAGGATGGGGACCTTTAGGGGAGATAAGGGGAGGTGGAGCACCGAGGCAGGGAGGTACGTCTTTGCTTCCTGAGTTCTGATGGACTGAATAGGTTCTGTGGAATAAATTAAATTTAAATTCCATTTTGATTTAAGGCCTCAAAGCACCGAGTGACATTGCAGAAGTATACAATTGTGTTTTTTAAATAATTATTTGGCCATTTTCACCTGTGACTGTCTCTTTTCAGCTCCATCCCTTTCCCAGGTGACCTGAGGCCCATCTCCAGCGGAGCGTCCCTCTCATTCCCTTGTCCTCGTTGCCGTGTCAACCATGCCGCCTCACTAGCCCTCTGAGTCATCATGGCAGCTGCCAGAGCTCCATGGATCCCCCCAGCAGCAGCAGCGTGATGCTTCCCCAAGTGAGAAGGCACCAGGTTGGGCACAGGGTGTGGGATGGAGCCCCTGGAGGGGTGAAGGCCCGGCTGCAGGGACATAGGTATGTGTGCTGGGAAACACGGGTGCTCAGAGTCCTTGGTTTTGTCTGGAGAAACAGAGGAGTTTGGAGACCATTCATTTATTTTAGATCACTGTGGTTGTGTGTGTGTGTGTGTGTGTGTGTGTGTGTGTGTGTGTGTGTGTGTGTGTGTGTGTGTGTGTGTGTGGGTGTACACATCTAGATGAGATTTGTCACACCGCATCTTAATTACAGTGTTCTGAAACGGGACGAGATGATGGATCATGGAATGAAAAAAACATAACTAAAAGTTCAAATGTGCATGCAGGGTTCTGTGGGGGGTCAGTCCTTGTATTTAATTGAATTTCAATCCATGCACACTTTATGTATTTATGCATAAGCTTTAAAAAAACAAAAGATTGGAGCATGCTATATTTCAGGCGTAAATGTAGGGAGAGCAAGAACTATTTTGCAATTGCATTTTTTGCAATATTCATGAGAAAACACAAGATCGGACCGAAAACAGTAGTCGAAGGATTTTTAAATGAACGCAGCTGCAACAATTGGATGAAAAGAACAATAAATATTTAAAGAAGCGGGAACTACGATGGGGTGGTATAATTAATCTGACTGATTTCATCGCTCCGTGCTTCCACAACTGTAGTTTGATCTTTCTGTCTGGACCAAGAAATAAATGATACTGTATCGCATTTTAGTTGTGCTTTGATTGCTGTTCACAATGAGCTTTGTACAAACAAACCCATATGAGTAAACATAAAGTTATACAGACTGACAGGTAACCCATTGACGGGACGAAAAGACCGACCACTGTGCCATGAATAATACACCTTGTCTTTATCCATTGACTGTACATCGAATGTCAATCTGGTACAGAGAAAAGCACCAATAGAAAGTGAATGTAACATAGCTGACACACTGACCCAGTGTTGAACATTTAAGAGACATGATCTGTACATTTCTAATTAGAATGACTTGGTTTGAGATTTTGCCCAGAATTATGATATGTGTTGTATAGAATTGTAAAATCTCGTATTAAGATGTGCTAGAGGACAGGACAGTCATAAGTAATTGTTTGACGGCCTATTCCCAATTACATGGAGATCTTTCTATCACAGTGGGTGTCTGGCTGTTTTTGTGCATCTGCATCTGTGCGTGCATGCGTGAGTGTGTGTGTGTGTGTGCGTATTGGCGTGTAGGTACCCAGTCTGTTCGGGGTCAGCCTCTCACCTGGCCTGGCCCTGTCCTCTGGTGGTGCCCTCCGAGCCTGCAGCTCAGCCAGGTAGTGGTTTTCGGCTGCTCTGACCATCTGCTGCTGTCTCTCCCTCTGCCTCTCCTTCTGCCTGTCCTTCTGCCTGTCCAGCTCTCTCTCCCGCTCCTCCTCCCTCTCTCTCTCCCTCTCCCGCTCCAGCCCGGCCTCACGCTCCCTTTCTTTCTCTCGTTCGCGCTCTTGCTCTCTCTCTCGCTGGCGGAGATCATTCTCCATCTGCAGCCTGTGGGGGAGGTTGACAAGTATGAACGCACACACAACACACATACACAAACACGGGGGGAGAAGGTGAGAGATGCAACACCCAACATGAGGCAGATATTAACCAGACACTGGTGAACCTCACACAAACATTTTGTTCCCAAACACATACACACACATACACTTGCAGAAACACACTAAAATATTCCCACACTCTCTCCACTTACCATGAGGAAAATAATCCATACACAGCACGACTGAGCAAGAGCAGATGAACACTTAATAGGTATCCACAGGAAAAGGACACACGCGCACACACAGCAGAACGCATTCAGCAGCAATCAATATCACACAAACAAAGCTACAGGATACGCGAGAGCCATTACAGAAGCAGACTATAATACCATCCATTTCAAACACAAACATCTCCCCCCCTGTATTATGACAAAGGGAAACAATGTGCATTGTGAAAGTGAGAAAGACATTCAGTGTGTGTATATGCATGAGTTTGCAGTGTGTGTGTGTGTGTGTGTGTGTGTGTGTGTGTGTGTGTGTGTGTGTGTGTGTGTGTGTGTGTGTGAAGGGCAGCATGTGTGATGAGTGTATAAGAGGCACTGTGGGGTGTGTGCTAAAAATATCACACACTCAGCAACCTGTGCCTTCCCTGCAGAGAGAGATTACACAGCCCAGAGAGACAGAGAGAGAAAGAGGAAAGAGAGTTGCACGTGCACATGCATGTGTGTTACCTTTCAGCCAGCGCCGCCGTGTGGTTCAGTTCTCCGGGGTAGCGGCCTCCAGGCATGTGCAAGTGGAGGGCAGAGTGGTGGAGAGGAGAGAAGGCGCCTCCTCCAGGTACAGAGTAGAACTGCGAGCGTAGCGCGGAGAGACACATGGACTCCTCCATCCTGTGACAGACACACGGACAGATGGACCAGGCCAAACAAGTCAGACTCTATCTGCGCATGCAAGTGTGGAGAAGGTGGACGATGTGATACTTAATATGTGAAGGTGAAGGTGACGCTGCAGCAGTGAAGGTCAAAAGATGATGATGTTCGTATGGAGGTATTTTAGGAGGTTTTGTAGGGTGATTACGAGAAATATGAAAGGAAATGGTAGCTAATCCTGGTTGTTAGCAGCGTGGACCATTTTTTCATTATAGAATAGTAAGTAGGGAGGCGGACATCCCAGTTGATCCCCTGTAGACCTTCATCAACACAGCTTTGGATAGACTGTATTTTGAACTGTTCTTTAAACGTGGTCTTATTAAAACATTGATTAAAACATTTTGATTGTTTAATGAAAGTATACCGACTTTAAACAACCAGTCAGTTGAATTCATTCACCTTCTATTGGAAATTGTTTTAACATGAACACTGACTCAATCAAGGCCTGAAAAAAGCAGGAACGTACGGTGGTTGTGTACTTATGAGAGGAAAGTATGATGATTTTTTTGTTATGTGCAAAGTTGGCATTGAATCGCTGGTAGTGTTACCTTGGATAATCAACAGAGCAGCTAACTTTTCAAAAATTCCTCTTAAAGCATGTTGTTTAACAACCTCACCTATATTGTAAGTGATGCACTCCGACTAACTGCTTGTTCGAGCACTTCATTTAAGCTTTAAAACACTCTTTAATCCAATGTCTTGACTTCATTGTAATAAAAACTAAAATGACGTGGGCGTCTAAGTGTCTGTGAGAGGTTAGGCGCTGAGATTCTCAGGTGCTATTGCTACCTTGGTAAGGACAGCGGGTGGTGCATGTAGGCAGGATGATAGTAAGCAGCGGCGGCTGCGGCGTGGGCCGCGGCAGCTTGCTCCAAACTCATGGGTAGAGAGGTCAGCCGGAGGTCATCCGACGTGCCAAACGGCCGCAGCGCTCTCAGGTACTCCTCCTGGATGGCGCTCGAGGGAACCACGGGGTGCATCTGCCCGGGCAAACTGCAGAACAAGTACACGGGGCGTTAGTCTAAATCTGTTTAACGTCCCCTTAAATGGGTATGAATACCAAATATGGTCCAACTCTGGGTGTATGGTTGCACTTACCTGAGGCTCTGCATTCTGGGGTCCTGCATGACTGAGCTAGGGGTGAGGCCGAAGGGGTGAGCCAGGGGGTGACGAGAGGGGGTCGGAGGAGTCCTCTTATCCTGTTGTGTCTGGGTGTTCTCGGCCCCCAACCGCTCTCTACCGAGTCCCTGAACACTCAGATCAACCTGACAGACACACAGAGAGAGCAGATATTACTATACATATATATATATACACATATATATATATATATATATATACACACACACATATGTTTGCTATATTGAAACTGGGTGGGAAAAAAGTTCAGGGAAAGCGATGAAGAAAAATGAGTCGAAGCAAAGCCCCCGAGCTGCACCCAGAGGCTCGGCAGAGTGGAAAAGTGGGCCTGATATGTCATAGCAAGTCAAGATCAAAGTGGAAAGATGATCCTAATATATGGCCAACTGCGTTCTCTCTCTCTCCCTCTTCCTCTCCGAGGATTCGGTCACCACAAAGTCCTTAATTGCTTATAACAACACAATTCCAACCTTCGAATCAACAACATGACAAAATTTTAAATCAAAAAAAGATATTTCGCGGGCTCGGCTTAGCCCTCTTAGGTTCTTTAGTATGGCATGTGTCATTAATTTACTAATTTACTAAATCAATTTAAAGCAAAGCGCCTCACACTATCATCTTGTGCAGATCACGTTTTAGAAGTCCACAGCAGTAGAAAGGGAGAGAGAGTGGCGGACCTGACTACTGTTCCACTGATCAACATACTGACATCAGCTGCGTCATACTGCCTACGCGGCTGAAAAAACCACAGCACTGTGATAAAAAGTCTCAACTTCTCCACTATGTAGATGGAACAGCTGGAAGAAAACCTTTGACTATAATACATCAATCACATTTCCATGATAATGCTTCATATCGGCCGGAGGTCAGACAGACCGTGGACAATCCACAAACAAATTACCTCTCCCAGCAACAGCTGATCTGCTACCTTAGTTCTGTTCAAAACTTGCAGAGAAATATCTGTGCTTTGAATGTGTTTGAATAGTTTTGAATGGGTCACTCATGAAAAGCAGTGACGGGCCGTCTCTCTCTCTCTCTCTCACACACTCTATCATTCGGCAATATCCACTGGTTAAGAATAAGAGGGGGAGGGCAACGACACACGGAGGGTCTGGAAAGTAGCCATCACATTCCTCGACCTCTGACCCTGCAGACAGCCAACTGCCTCCACAGATGCAGCAATAAACACACATAAACAGTGGGTATCTTTGGCTGCATACGGTACTGAATCTATGCAAAGATTTAGAGCCCTCTCATCTCACTCCGTCACTCTCCTGCTCATTCTTCCTCCCCTTCTTTCTTAACACCTCATTCTCTGTTTTCCTGCCTCCTTCCCTCTCTGCATGTCTGAATAGGAGCCCCAGGCAGGCCGAGCCACAGAGTGGTATTTGTGAAGGGGAGAAAGGCAGCTCTGATCCAGGGGGAAGTGGCTATTGTGGGGGCTCACCCCTGCATTGTGTGAGGGGCCTGGTTCCTCGCTCCACCTTAAATGCGTTCGCACACCCACAAGCAAACACATCCATAGACAAACACACACACATACATACACTGGTCCCTCTTCACATCATGAGCCTTTTGTGGTGAAGGATTAAGTACACACACACACACACGTGCACGCATACACTCACACACACACACACACACACACACACACACACACACACACACACACACACACACACGCACAAACACTGCAGGAAGCTGAACACAATACGTGCCAGTCTCTGCAGCCTTCAGTGTTTCTTTACAAACCCCTCATGTGTTGCTGCAAAAGACATGGACTGATTAGTGAGAGGAAGAGGGGGTGAGGCAGAGGGGTGGAAGCACGGAAATGAAAGAATAAGACAAGACAGAGAAAACGAGAGGGAGGGAGGGGGAGGGGGGGGGTAGACAGACAGAAATGGAGGGATGGCTGGGTTTGACAGTTGACAAGCACTGGAACTATTTCTTTAATGGAGGGAGCAGCAGCAGGGCGGATGAAGGAAACCGAAAGAGACAGACGACTCATCGGTGCCGAGAGAGCGAGAGAGAGAGAGAGAGAGAGAGAGAGAGAGAGAGAGAGAGCGAGAGAGAGAGAGAGAGAGAGAGAGGAGAAACCAGCAATACAAAGGAACCAAAAGCACAGACACACAGCGAGAGCGGCAGATGTCCGCGCTCAAACTTGCTCTCACCTGTCTTGCGTCGGCCCTCCACAGGCCGTTGCTGGTCTTGGTAGGGGCAATGGTGACCACCGGGGCGGTGCCGGATACACCGTGGCCTCTGGTCTGGCCCAGGTGGGGCCCTAGCGAGCCCCGCTTCGGGGTGGTTACCGGCGAGCTGTGGCTGGTGGCCGGGGACGGGACGGGAGACGACTCACCGCTGACGGCAGAACCTGAGGCGGGGAGGAAGGGACAGGGTTAACAACTGCAGCTATCAGACGGCTGATCCGATTAAAAACGATTTCAGGATCAAACAACCCTCCCCCGTGACATGATACAGACGGTGCACTCAAAAGAAAAACAAACTTTTTTTTTGTCAGTCGCCGGCATACAACGAGATAAATAGTGATTCAATCATTTTGATTAAGAGCATTCTGGCTAAATGTAGAAGGAAAAAAGGAAATTGTAAAAAGGTACAGAAGGTAGAAGAGAGGAGAAAATGCGTGCATGTGTAATATGTGTGTGTGTGTGCACGCTGATGACGAAAAAGAAAAGATATAGAGACAACAAGGGAAGGATGTGACAAAGGAGGGTGTTAAAAAGAGGCTGGGGTGCGACACAGCCAATTGTGAGGGGGGGGGGTGTTCAAGAAAATAGCTGACATACGCTCCTCCTTCTCAAACCCACCTCCTACTTCTCGCGTCACACCGGCCTCACCTCTTTCGCCCTCACGTTCCTCTTTCACCGCCCTCTCTCCTAACCAAATACTTACCCTAGTAACCTCTGCCCGTCCGACCACCTGCCCTCTTGACCCTATTCCATCACATCTTCTACAATCTATCGCACCTGACCTTCTTCCGTTCCTCACCTGTCTCATCAACAACGCTCTGTTATCTGGCTGTTTTCCCAATTCTCTGAAGGAGGCAAGAGTGAACCAACCCCTGAAGAAACCCACCCTCAACCCTTCTGAAGAAAACATCTACAGACCGGTCTCTCTTCTTCCCTTTTTGTCCAAAACCCTTGAACGTGCTATCTTTAATCAACTCTCCTCTTATCTCCACTGGAACAACCTCCTTGACCCCCACCAGTCAGGTTTCAAGGCAGGCCACTCCACAGAGACTGCTCTCCTTGCTGTCTCAGAGCAACTCCACACTGCTAGAGCCGCCTCTCTCTCCTCTGTCCTCATCCTTCTGGACCTCTCTGCTGCATTTGACACGGTCAACCACCAGATCCTTATTTCCTCCCTTCAGGAACTTGGTGTCACAGGCTCTGCTCTCTCCCTTCTCTCGTCCTACCTCGACGGCCGCACCTACCGGGTAACCTGGCGAGGATCTGTGTCGGAACCTTGTTCTCTTACTACTGGAGTTCCTCAGGGTTCCGTGCTGGGTCCCCTCCTGTTCTCGCTTTACACCAACTCTCTTGGCGCTGTCATTCGCTCGCATGACTTCCCTTACCACAGCTATGCCGATGACACCCAACTAATTCTCTCCTTCCCTCACTCGGACACCCAGGTGGCGGCTCGGATCTCTGCCTGTCTAACTGGCATCTCTCAGTGGATGTCCGCCCACCATCTGAAAATCAACCCCGACAAGACTGAACTACTTCTCTTTCCCGGAAAAGATTCGCTTACCCAGGACCTGACAGTCAACTTTGGGAACTCTGTACTAATGCCCACTTTGACCGCTAAGAACCTCGGCGTCACACTCGACAGCCAACTCTCCCTGACTCCCAACATCACCGCGACAACGCGACCCTGTAGATACACGCTCTACATCAGGAGAATACGTCCCCTTCTCACTCAGAAGGCAGCGCAGGTACTGATTCAGACTCTTGTCATCTCCCGCCTGGACTACTGCAACTCCCTCCTGGCTGGTCTCCCTGCCACCGCCATTCGACCTCTGCAGCTCATTCAGAATGCAGCAGCTCGACTGGTCTTCAACCTTCCGAAATTCTCCCACACTCTCTTCACTGGCTACCGGTGGCCGCCCGCATCCAGTTCAAAACATTGGTGCTCACGTACCATGCTGTGAATGGATCGGGTCCAGCTTACATCCAGGACATGGTCAAACCCTACATCCCAACCCGCACTCTCCGCTCTGCATCTGCAAAACTACTCGTCCCTCCCTCACTGAGAGCAAAACACTCGACTAGATCTCGACTCTTTGCTGTCCTTGCTCCGAAATGGTGGAACGAGCTCTCTGAAGACACCAGGACCGCAGAGAGCCTTCACATCTTCCACCGCAAACTAAAGACACACCTCTTCAGACTCTACCTCGACTAAAGACTAACAAATTGTAGCACTTAAATTGTACTTGTAACGTCACTCATCTATAGCAAATTGTAAATTGGCTTATTTGAGGAAATTGCACTTTCTTGTTTCTTGTTCTCCTGAGTTTGTACCCTATGGTTGAATGCACTTATTGTACGTCGCTTTGGATAAAAGCGTCCGCTAAATGACATGTGTTACGGCTGTCACCGTGGTCTGTATTTCTGTTTTGTCTGTACCAAGTAGGCTGTGCGGCCCTGTGGACTGAAGCCCCGCCTACTTCCTGGTTTCGGTGGAGCACCACAGGTTCACTCCAGCTCCACCCATTGGTCCACCCTGTCTCAGCGCGCCCAATGGCAGGGCACCATCGCAGCCTTACCTCCAGCACTTAAGGAGAGCCCACCAGTGGCTCGAGGCAGCTTGTCTTGGCCGGTGGACTTGTGTGCCTGCTGTGTTTGTGATTGAGTGCACCCGGGTTGAGTACTGTGCTTTGGGTCTGTGTGTTTTTTGCCAGCACGGAGCTGACAAAAGGGGGTGAGTTAGGGCCAGAGTCTACACTGATTTCACCACACGTAGTTCTTTGTTTGTTAGCGTCATAGGTGTAGTGGGTGCTGTGCTCTTTGTGTTTTTTTCTGGTACGCGCCTACTGTTTGTTTTAACGTATGTTCAGGCTTAGTCCTCCTTTTGGGGATCTCTTTTATTTTACTTAGTTTGTCTTTCACAGCACCCTCATCCACCCTCCTTTTGTTTGTTGTCACGTGCCTGTTTATCTCTGGTTGCAAATAAATCCTACCCTTTTACAACTGACCAGGTTCTGCCTATATGTTTATGGTCCCCGCAACCCTAGACCATCCAGGGGGTCGTAACATATATGGGGGCTCGTCCGGGATCCCTTTCTAGAGGAATCCCAATTGGCAGAGATTGGTTGCGTAGTCGATTTGTGTGACTAGGCGGAGCGGAGTACTGTAACGAGGTGCAGCTTGCCTGAGTGAGGGACTCATGGCCGCTGCCCGGTTTGACCTTGCAGCTTTCCTAAGCCAGCCCTCAGTGGAGCAGTTGGATGTGTGTCGGAAAGATGATTTGCTTCAGTTAGCAACCCACTTTGGCATCTCGGTGCCCAAAACTATCCTTAAAAGGGTGTTGAAACCTATGCTATCGTTAGCATTAGTCGAGAGGGGGGTAATTGTAGTGCCAGAGCTGCCAGAGAAAGAGCTCATGTTCCCGGTTGCTGGTTCAGCTGCCAAAGGGGAGGTCACGCCTACCCCTGACCTTGCTACAGATGTATCTGATACCGACAGAGCAGGTGAGAGGCCTGCGACTCCTTTCACCCTGCCCAGGTTTGATCCTTCCTCTGTCAGCAGTGCTCACTCGCTAGGAGGAGCGCGGCTAAAGGTTCGCCTTGCCCGCCTCCAGTATGACGCACAAGACAGGGAACGCCAGATGCGTTTCCAACTCGAAGTACGCCGAATGGAGATTGAGGCTGACCAGGCGGTGCGACTGCGGACGCTAGAGCTCGAGAGCGCCAGCGCAGCCATGGCTGGTGGGGCCGTAGGTTCTGCTGGTACAGTTTCTCTCCCCCACTCATCCAAATTGGACTCGGTAAGTCCAGGATTTGATGTTAGCAAAAATATTGCTTTAGTACCTTTCTTCCGAGAAGCTGAAGTGGACTCGTACTTTCAAGTTTTTGAGCGAATAGCCTTGGCATTAAAATGGCCGCCTGAGGTCTGGTCTTTACTGTTGCAGTGCAAGCTACAAGGCAAAGCACAGGAGGCTATCGCTTCCCTTTCTGTAGAGGATAGTACAGACTGTGAGACAGTTAAATCCGCGATCTTGCGAATTTATGAGCTTGTGCCCGAAGCTTACCGACAAAAGTTCCGGTCACATAAGAAACCAGCAGCGCAAAGTTACACAGAGTTTGCCCGAGAGAAAACTATACTCTTTGACCGGTGGCTTGCGTCATCTAGTGTAGCTGGGTTCAGTGCACTTAGGGAACTCTGCTTAGTAGAGGAGCTTAAACGCTGTCTACCAGAACGCATAGTGATGTACTTAAATGAACAAAAAGTGTTAACGTTATCTGCTGCAGCTACGTTAGCGGATGAGTACATGCTAATTCACAAACCAGCCTTTTCTCAAGTTGTAAACAGTACCCGCCGCGGAAATCTAAACCAGTCTACTCCTCCTAGGCACCCTAGTGTGAAGGAAGAAGAGCGCCGTTGTTTTTATTGTCATAAGAGTGGACATGTTATTGCTGATTGTATGACTTTGAAACGCAAAGACCAGCTGTCATCGCGTGTGCATCAGCCCAAAGGTGTCGGGTTAATTAACGATTTGCGAAGCCCTAAACTAAACTGTGACCACCAAAGTGAGGTTGATGCCTGTTTTCGCCCATTTGTACTCGAAGCCCTTATTTCACTGACGGGATTGCCAGCAGACCAGCAGTCTGGTAAAGTGCTACGAGACACTGCCTGTTCTCAATCAGTGGTGTTGGCTTCTGCGTTACCCTTTTCAGCTGAATCCGCTTGTGGATTCGCGTCCGTCTTAAGGGGCATTGAAATGGGATATGTGCCTCGGCCTGTGCATAAGGTACACATCCAGTCTGATCTCGTCAGTGGGTTTTTTCCAGTAGCAGTGTGTGATGAACTTCCCATACAAGGTATTGTGCTGCTCCTAGGAAATGACATAGCCGGGGGTAAAGTTACTCCAACTTTGGAAGTGTGCGATGTACCAAGGGTTCCTGGCTGCAGCACAGAGTTACCCAAAGTATTTCCGGCCTGTGTCGTCACTCGTGCGCAGGCACGCCAGTTGGCGTTCGAGTCGGATATTTCGCTAGCTGATACAGTGTTTTGTGAGCCTTTTCAGACCGCTGATCCAACTCCAGTGAAGGAGCCAGCGTTGGTGGAGTGCGAAACCGAAACGTCCCCTTCCTCCCCACCACTGCCAGCTACAAGAGAACGCTTGGCTGTGGCTCAGAGAGAGGATCCAACCTTATGGGCCTACTTCAGGAATGTGGTGAGTGACAGCAACACAGCAAGTGGTGAAAAAGTAGCGTTTTACCTAGAAAATGGTGTGTTAATGCGGAGATGGTCTTCAGGGGTACCTCCTGATGCAGATTGGCAAAGAGTGCATCAGATTGTAGTGCCTTCAGTTTACAGACAGCATGTCTTATCGGTCGCCCATGAAAGTAAATGGTCGGCCCACTTAAGAGTCACTGAGACTTACCAGTCAGTGTTGCGCCATTTCTTCTGGCCTGGGTTGAAGACCGATACAGCTACGTTTTGCCGTAGTTGTCATGTATGTCAGATGACCGGGAAGCCTAACCAAAAAGTTTCCCCCGTCCCTCTACATCCCATACCTGTGATTGAAGCACCTTTTGGCAGAGTGATTATCGACTGCGTAGGTCCTTTGCCACGCACTAAGAACGGCAACCAATACCTGTTCACGATGATGTGTGCCGCTACTCGCTTCCCTGAGGCTGTCCCACTCCGTAACATCACTGCAAAGAGCATAGTTAGGGCGCTAACTAAATTCTTTTCCACTATCGGTTTACCCCGTGTAGTACAGTCGGACCAAGGCTCTAATTTCCAGTCCAGGCTGTTTAAACAAATACTAGGGACGCTCAATGTACGCCATGTTGTTTCGTCTGCATACCATCCTGAGTCACAGGGTGCGCTAGAACGGTGGCACCAGACGTTAAAGTCTATGCTTAAGAAACATTGCCATGACAATGGCACTGACTGGGACGAGAGCACTCCGTTCGTTTTGTTCGCTGCTCGCGACGCTGTACAGGAATCACTAGGATTCAGCCCTGCCCAGCTGGTGTTTGGACATACTCTCCGTGGTCCTCTGCACACACTGCATGACCAGTTTCTGTCTTTGCAAGCCGTTCCTGCACAAAACGTGCTAGATTATGTTAGTCAGTTCCGTGAGCGACTGCACAGAGCTAATGCCCTCGCTAAGCACATGTTGACTGCCGCACAAACCGCTATGAAACGGAATTACGACCGTTCCGCTGTGGAACGTACCTTCAGTGTTGGAGACAAGGTCTTGGCACTACTGCCAGTACCAGGTCCCACGTTGTCCGCCAAGTTCTCAGGGCCATATGAGGTTCACGAAAGGCTCAGTGACACTGACTATGTGCTAAGCACCCCTGATCGGCGTAGGAAAACACGTGTGTGCCACATCAACATGCTAAAACTTTATCATGCCAGGAATAAGGGCCCAGACTCCGAGGTTACTGCTAGGGGGTGCAGACCGCACTCCGTAATTGGGAAACCTCAGCTTGGAGTGGTAGCTTTAACTGTGTCTGACCCTATGCCTTTACCAGACGTCGACGATGTACGGCCGCGTTGTCCCGTCTATCCAGGTTCCCGTCTCACTAACTCGGAGGCGGTTGAGGCATTACCTACCTGCTTACCACATCTGTCCCATGCCCAAAGGCAGGACGTGATAAAGTTAATTACGCAGTTTCCAAGCTTGTTCAGTGACGTGCCAGGCAGAACTAACGTAGTAAAACATGATGTTGAACTAACAAACCCGCGTCCCATTAAGCAGCATCCGTACCGTGCAAATGTAATGAGGCGTGAAGTAATGAAAGGTGAGGTAGAGTACCTCCTTCAGCATGGCCTTGCCAAGCCTAGTTCCAGTCCATGGAGTTCTCCATGTCTTGTGGAAAAGAAGTCTGATGGTTCACCGAGATTTATCACAGACTTTAGAAAAGTTAATGCAGTCACTGTGCGTGATTCGTATCCCTTGCCGCGGATGGAAGATTGCGTTGATGCCCTCGGTACAGCCGTGTTTGTGAGCAAACTAGATCTCTTAAAAGGATACTGGCAAGTCCCTCTTACTGAGCGTGCATCTGAGATCTCAGCCTTTGTGACTCCAGATGACTTTTTACAGTACACTGTGATGGCTTTTGGGATGTGCAACGCTCCCGCTACCTTCCAGAGATTAATAAACACTGTGCTAGCCGGTGTTAGAAACTGTAATGCCTATATGGATGATCTCATTATCTACTCCAATACCTGGGAGAGTCACATGCTCACCCTCTCGGAAGTGTTTTCTCGCCTTGCCCACGCCAACCTTACCATTAACCTCGCTAAATGTGAGTTCGGGAAGGCCACTTTGACCTATCTAGGCCGTCAAGTTGGCCAAGGTCAAGTTCGTCCAGTGGAGGCAAAAGTAGAAGCTATTTCTTCAAGTCCAGTTCCAGCCACTCGTAAAGCGTTGCGCTCGTTTCTCGGTCTGGCTGGTTACTACAGAGCTTTTTGTAGGAACTTCTCGTCTGTGGTCGAACCGTTGACCCGGTTGCTTAGCCCTAAAGTCGACTTTGTGTGGACCCCAGAGTGTCGCGTTCGATAGTGCTAAGTCCCTCCTCTGCCACGCTCCCGTCCTGGCGGCCCCCGAGTTTTCAAAGCCTTTTAAGCTAGAGGTGGACGCCAGCGCTGTGGGAGCTGGTGCCGTGCTTCTGCAGGAAGATGTAGAGGGTATAGACCATCCTGTATGTTACTTCTCAAAGAAGTATAATCGCCATCAGCTTAACTATTCGACCATCGAAAAAGAGACCCTTGCTTTGTTGTTGGCCTTACAGCATTTTGAAGTCTATGTGGGTTCCAGCTCTCTGCCGGTGGTGGTTTACACGGACCACAACCCACTCGTGTTCTTGGCCCGGATGTACAACCATAACCAGAGACTCATGAGGTGGGCCTTAATGGCACAAGAATACAACCTGGAGATACGGCACAAGAAAGGTTCAGAGAACATTATTGCAGATGCCTTATCTAGACTGCACACCTAATACAGCAGCAATGTGTGTGAGTTTAAACTGTCAAACTGGGGAGTTTGTGTTTATGGGGGGGGGTGTTACGGCTGTCACCGTGGTCTGTATTTCTGTTTTGTCTGTACCAAGTAGGCTGTGCGGCCCTGTGGACTGAAGCCCCGCCTACTTCCTGGTTTCGGTGGAGCACCACAGGTTCACTCCAGCTCCACCCATTGGTCCACCCTGTCTCAGCGCGCCCAATGGCAGGGCACCATCGCAGCCTTACCTCCAGCACTTAAGGAGAGCCCACCAGTGGCTCGAGGCAGCTTGTCTTGGCCAGTGGACTTGTGTGCCTGCTGTGTTTGTGATTGAGTGCACCCGGGTTGAGTACTGTGCTTTGGGTCTGTGTGTTTTTTGCCAGCACGGAGCTGACAAAAGGGGGTGAGTTAGGGCCAGAGTCTACACTGATTTCACCACACGTAGTTCTTTGTTTGTTAGCGTCATAGGTGTAGTGGGTGCTGTGCTCTTTGTGTTTTTTTCTGGTACGCGCCTACTGTTTGTTTTAACGTATGTTCAGGCTTAGTCCTCCTTTTGGGGATCTCTTTTATTTTACTTAGTTTGTCTTTCACAGCACCCTCATCCACCCTCCTTTTGTTTGTTGTCACGTGCCTGTTTATCTCTGGTTGCAAATAAATCCTACCCTTTTACAACTGACCAGGTTCTGCCTATATGTTTATGGTCCCCGCAGCCCTAGACCATCCAGGGGGTCGTAACACATGTAATGTAATGTAATGTAAATATGATTGTTACGTACAGTGCTATAAGGGAATAGGTCTACAGATATGGTGTTCTTTTTTTTGTGTTGTTGGTTTGTGTTTTTGTCTCCCCCTTCTGTTTCCATTCTCTCACTCACAGATGTGCACACCTGGTTCCCCTCATCCAATCACCACACCTGTTCCAGATCTCCCATCAACCATTCCTCTTTCTATAGTCAATGTTTGTTTTCAGTAGAGGAGGGCTATTTTGTGTTGAGCTGGGCTCTCGGTTGGAAGAGCACTGTCTTGTGGTAGTTGTGGTAATATCTTTTGGTGGTGTGCACAGGGTCAATGAGGACAGGTAAGATACTCCGGGGTTTACATATTGCATACACGTAGGTGTACCTGTTGTTAGTACCCTAGGCTAGAGTGAGCACCACCCACTGTACTTTTGGGTGCTAAGCACCGGTCAATGAGAGGGGGGGGGGGTGTTTATGTTCTTTTCTTTGGTGCCACTGAAAGTCCTTGTTGATCCCTGTGTTGCTCTTTTGCAAAATAAATACTTTTTTGTTACATTTTGTGTGGTGGATTTTGTGTGGCTGGCGCCTCACTTGCTTTGACCTGTTGCCCTTATGTTGCGCTCCAGGTCGAGCCACCAGGGAGCGTAACAATAAGGAGAGAGTATGTGTGCGTGGTTTGTAACATTCACGCTACTCTATTACTCTCACTAACACTCACTAACCGGTAGAGACAAACACATTCAGAGCGCGAAAGGGGCGGAGGTCGGGGGGATAATGAGATGGAGAGAAGGTGGGAGCGGAGGAGTTCACGTAGAGCTAAAGGTGGAGAGAGAGCTACAGGGAGCGAGAAAGAGGAAGCGAGAGGATGATGGAGAGAGCTGCTTATAATTGGCTGTAATTAGATTCTCATTATTAGGAGATGAATGGAAACGGATGAAGGAAGAGACAGAGAGGGAGAGGTCAGGATGGGTCAGCTCTTATTCAACACCTTCATTAGGAGACCAACACACACACACACACACACACTAACACACACATACCAGTCAGTAAAACGTTTCAGAATAATCTGCAAAAAACACCTTGGTGTGCGAAATGATCTGCTTACACAATTATTGACACTGTGCAGTGATGCATCAGGCAATTTTCTGTCATTAGCACCTTGTTTAGGTAATTAAAGGAATAGTTTTGGAAATATGCTTACCCTTATCAAGTCGAATGAGACGATTGTTACAATTCTTGCGACTGTGAGATAAATATGAAGCAACCGCCGGGGGACATTAGCCTAGCATGAAGCCTGCAAACAAGGGGAAGCTGGAGTAGAGGTGGTTCCTTTGGTTGTGACCGAAAAAGAGAAGTCTACTGTACGAGTGTGTGTGTGTGTCTTTATGACAGGGGACCTGCAGCTGCTGGAGCTGCGGGTCTTAAAAGCTCACCTCTGGGATCTTCGGCCTGTTTGGCCAGTTTGCGCAGGGCAGCAGCGAATCCAGAGTTTGCAGATTGGGCGACCACGTTCCCATTGGTTAGTGGGCTGAGGGGGCTGACAGTGGCGGTGGTGCGAGTTGCCGTGGAGATCATTCCTAATGATGCCGATTTATTGGACTCATGGTTCATACCTGAGAAGGAGAGTGGCAGGAAAAACATTTTTGGAGCTTAAGGACAAATTGCATCGTGACGTTTTTTGTTTGTTTGTTTGGCGTCCCAGTAAAACAATGGAGTCGGGAAAAGGTCTGTGATTCTTTTGTCAGGTAATGAACTAGTTTACCATCTGCTTTCTGCCAGTAGACGTCTCATTCATCTTGAGTGAATGAAAATCATCCACAAGGTCTCCAACAGAATGGACAGAATGTGTGTGAGTGTGTGTGTGTCCCTTTTGTGTCTGGACATCACAGTGAGTCCATACGCGTGGGTCAGCTCCGTCAGAGTAGAGCTGTTGTGTCAAATAGAGCGGTGACCCTAATAGCAAATGACACACATGCACACATGTCCATTTCCTCAAGGGAGCCAGCCAACACATCGCAAGACCTCGGCAGCGTCTACACGCAAACATGATTAGTTATCACTGCAGTTTTACACCCTGGCAGAGGGAAGCACGTGAACGCACAAATAAAACACATATACACACACACACACACACACACACACACAGACAACAAGCAAACCCATTGATCTACTGCATAGTGGACACACTTGGATCAGATGTGGTTAGCGTAACCTTTGTCTTTATCCTCTACCCTCTTGCTGACCCACTAATGTTAATTACAGATGGAATTAGCCGCCAGCCCCCTGCCTCCTACAGCAATGACCTCATTACCACCACACACACACACACACACACACACACACACACACACATGCCACAGGAACCACATTCAAACAGTCAAAGCTGTAAACACACTCATGAAAAATTAATAAGGGTACATTGAACACCACTACTGAATGATCTGCTAATCACGTGGAGGGAACGAAAGAAGCAAAAGAATAAAGGGCAGTCAGTTCGTTGATTGACAGCATCGTGAATCTCGTGTTATTCACAGATTACATGTCATTTTACCTGCAAGCTTTTAACACGTGTGAGCAATGGCCGGCAGAGGAAGCCGCGGGGCGGCGAACACAGCAAGAGAGGGAGATGAGTGCAGAACAGATTGAGGGAAAGGAAATGACCAAGCCAAATCTTTAAGTTGGTGAACATGGAGGGCGCACAGCGGTTGCTGCATGAACTAATGTGAGCCTTCAGAGAGACGTAGCTGTGCAATTCTGCAGCACGTTTTGAAAATATAAAACCAACAATTTAAGTTATGCATTATCACAGTGATGCCAAAGCTATTCCAGGTTTCATGACAGTTTAATCAGGTCGTTTCCAGCGGCCACAAAGCGACCCGGACAGATAACTAATAACCTGTCGACATCCATCTAACTGCCCTTAATCACACATCTAATGAGTGTAATGTATACAATTAACACGCGTGTGTTTATGCACCAGAAAACAGGGTACACAACATCAGGAATCAGGAAACATTTATTACCATAATATGTCATACATACATACGTATGTATGTATACATGTCATACATACAAGGAATTTGTCTTGGCGGTTGGTGCGCGACAGTAGACAATGTGACAATAGACAAGACAGCAGTGCGAGTAATAAAATAAAGTAAAATTAAATGCTAATGCAATGGGTTAGTAGAATAAGGCTATGGGTTAGTATAAAACAAGGGAATAAAGTTTAAAATGTTAAATATTAAAAAAGTTAAAAAATAAATATTAAGCATAAAGTGCACTAACGAACAAGTAACAGACAAGTAACAAAGTGACGAGTGATGACAAAGTGATGAATTGCATTTAAAGTGGCATGTGCAGTATGAGGGGGAGTGACCGGTGGAGTGTTATAGTCAGTCAGTGGGGGACCGGCTCTGTTGATGAGCCCGACTGCCGACAGGAAGAAACTGTTCGTGTGGCAGGAGGTCTTAGTCCTGATGGACCTCAGCCTCCTGCCAGATGGAAGGGGCACAAACAGTTTATGTCCGGGGTGGGAGGGGTCGGCCACGATCTTTTTAGCTCGCTTCAGAGACCTGGAAGCGAACAAGTCCTGCAGGGACGGCAGATTGCAGCCGATCACCCTCTCTGCAGAGCGGATGACACGCTGCAGCCTGCCCTTGTCCTTGGCTGTGGCTGCAGCGTACCAGACGGTGATGGAGGAGCAGAGGATGGACTCCATGATGGCCGTGTAGAAGTGGACCATCATCGTCTTTGGCAGGTTGAATTTCTTCAGCTGCCTCAGGAAGAACAACCTCTGCTGAGCCTTCTTGGTGATGGAGCTGATGTTCAGCTCCCACTTGAGGTCCTGGGTGATGATGGAGCCCAGGAAACGGAAGGAATCCACTATGGTGACGGGGGAGTCACACAGGGTGATGGGGGAGGGTGGGGCTCTGTTCCTCCTGAAATCCACAACCATCTCCACTGTCTTTAGAGCGTTGAGCTCCAGGTTGTTCTGACTGCACCACGACACCAGATGGTCAGACTCCCACCTGTAGGCGGACTCATCCCCACCAGAGATTAGTCCAATGAGGGTGGTGTCATCCGCAAACTTCAGGAGCTTGACGGACTGGTTGCTGGAGGTGTAGCTGTTGGTGTACAGGGAGAAGAGCAGAGGGGAGAGAACGCAGCCTTGGGGGAAACCGGTGCTGATGGTCCGAGAGGCTGAGACATGTTTCCCCAGCTTCACGTGCTGCTTCCTGTCAGACAGGAAGTCTGTGATCCACTTGCAGGTGGAGTCGGGCGGTGCAGCTGGGAGAGTTTGTCCTGCAGCAGAGACGGGATGATGGTGTTGAAAGCAGAGCTGAAGTCCACAAACAGGATCCCGGCGTAGGTTCCTGGGGAGTCCAGATGCTGGAGGATGTAGTGGAGGGCCATGTTGACAGCATCGTCCACAGACCTGTTGGCTCTGTAGGCGAACTGCAGGGGGTCCAGGAGGGGGTCGTGAGGGACTTCAGGTGGGTCAGGGCTAGCCGTTCAAAAGACTTCATGACTACAGAGGTCAGGGCGACGGGCCTGTAGTCATTGAGTCCTGTGATACTGGGCTTCTTGGGAACAGGGATGATGTTGGAGGTGTAGGATATTAGAAACAAATTGACGATCCGGTTCATAAAATTTATAAAAATTCATATAGTGTACACCAGAATACAGCCATGATTCTGAAACTGTGTAATCAATAAAGCAATGAGAATATTTTAAAACCACTGTAATTCTGCACTGTAATAGAATAATATCGATGCAGTTATGATTGTATTTGATGTAATGTAATCAACTGGAATGCATGCATGTAATACTTGAACAACCACTGATATTGACTAAGGACCATTCGAAATCCGAGTTACATTGAACTCACCAGAAGACTCCCAGAGGTGTGGACACTGACTTTCACACCTTTAAGCATTGGTATAAATACCTGTAGGAACCATTGTTCTGGAGTTCGCTGGTGGAGGCGATAGACGGGCACTAGGGATGGTCAAAGGACTGACCTGGGGCCTGTTGGTCGCTGAGACCAGCGGCTCCTCAGCTGAGATGTTCTTTTTACCACAACGCCATCTCCTTTATTAAATACATTTGATTTTAACCTTTTGATCAGCGATGACCTCTGTCCGTCCGGCGTTTCTTCATTTTTGAACACAACAATTTGGTGACCCCGACGTGATGGAGAGCAATGGACGGACGGAGGAACAGCTGATCTGAACAAAGCCCAGCGATCGATTTTCTTCACTCACACGGCGCCATCGAAAAGGTAACCGGCAACCAGTTGTTTTAAAACCGAAATGCTGTATGTTTATCATAGAACATTTAGGTGTGAGAGGACAAGATACGTTGTTTTGAGGTAAACTCCATTTTAGTGAAAAAATAATTTTTCTCTTAGCTTGAATGGCCGTTGTGATAAAAAGCATATTGTATATAGTGTTTGTTTGGACGTCTCTGTGTGAGTTACCGACAAAGCTCGGTTGTGTAGCGTTAACGCTAAGTGAATGGGCGACGTTATTTAACTGATCAGTCATAGAATGAATGGAAACCTAGTATAGGCCTCTAACCGGTTGGGGATAGACGTATAGCAATTTATAGACTGTATACGTAATGCACTGTGTATAACGCGCTAGCAGAGTTAAGTCCACAAGGCCTGATGGAACCAGAGGAGTGTTACCAGCAGTAATTGAGTGGAAGAGGTTCGCGTTGTAATGGCGGTTCTTCGTTGTCTCCGTAAGCTCTTTTAGACTCTGTTAGGCGGCACAATAAATTCAAATATGAACTAGACGACGCCAATGAGGCTAGATAACTAAAAAATAAATAAATACATTTGGAACTTGTGAGGACAGAGCCACGCGCCGTAGTTGCCAAGAACTGACTAAAATTTTGCAGATAATTAAGTGCAGGGATAAATAGACCTAAAATAATAAGAGATAAGAGATAAGATAAGAAATAGGTCATCATATAACTCGCCTTGCAGGTGAGGACAGAGTCACGGACCAGCGCGCCGGAAGGCTGGAAGTTACAATTTAAATTCGAAAAGGGTGAGGACAGTGCCACGGCCGTCTGCCAAGACCCAAAAATAATAAATTACTGGATACATTTTTACAATAAATATAGATCAGTTGAAAACGTTGCGAACTTGTATATAATTGTATGTTGCATGTTGCGAAAAGAATGAAGCCGGATTAAGGATTTGATTGGGGCCTGGTCTTGGGGAAGACGGAGGACATGTTTTTGGAACATTACAGGATGGCGGGCGGAGACAAATAGAGAAAACAGTTAAAAGATGGCTGAGAAAGAAATTCTCAGCTTGGTCTACAGAGGGGACAACAATGACTTGTTATCCACCACTACTGGGGGTGGAGAACATGTGCTTTGGAGATTTCCAAAATGGCAGCCGGCAACAGTTAAAAGAAGAAAGTTGCACCAGATGTAACAGTTTCTGTATTTCCCACCTCCACTCTGTATTCCCATTAAACAGTGTCTCCCCTGTCTCCATTTTCCAAATGATCCTAACATTTTTTTTCTTCCTCCATTCTTAGGACCATGTGATTTTTGCTTGCATTACAAACGGTCTATGGACTTTTTCTAGGCTCTA